ACTACAAGAGAAGGGACAAGCTTTTGAGATACCTTCACAGTCCTCTGCCGCTAGAGTTGGCTGGGGACCAGGCCAGCACCTGATCTCAGGTGAAGTATTTACAAACCTGGAGTCCAGCCACAGGTCCATGGTTACAAAGAGTCATGAATGGGAACAGTGGCACACTGTTGGCCCTCAGCACCCTGTCGAGGAAGCACAGGGGGTTTTAGGTGCTGTGTCTACCTCTGTAGTAATTCCCAAGTACCACAGAATCACAGAATGGATCAGGTTGGAAGGGACTACAGTGGATCATTTGGTCCAACCTCCCTGCTCAAGCAGGGTGATCCTAGAGCACATAGACAGAATTGCATCTGAACACCTCTATGGCTTATTGAGGCAGGAGATAAAATATGCAGGGGTCAACATTGAAGAACTCCCCAGTGTGCCCCAAATCTGTGTGTGCTGCCAACTGATGCAACACACTCTTCTTGGGATTTGCTTTTAATTAAAAATGAGCTTTTTGTTCACAGTAGTAAGTACCAACCTTTCTTATGGGCTTTAACTGCTCCCAGCAGCCTGAGGTGTCCCCTCCACCCTTTCTCTAGACCTCACTTGCTGTTGATGCCTGTACCTGCAACCATTACCATGCTATGGAAACACTACATGGTTTTTGAAGTAGGGATCGGATGTAACAGTCGCATAATCTCCGACATACAGAAAAAGTCTCTCTGCCCATCCAAGGGCACTCTGCAGAAAGCAAATGCTCACCTTGGCCATATGACAGGGATACACAGAGTTGTACTCTCCACCCGGCTTTAGCTGGGATATTAAGCTGTGTATTTCTCACTGGAAATAAGCATTCTGTTTTCCTGTACATGGTTTGTTTTGTTTCTGTCGAACATAAAGCCTGGAGGCAACACTGCACACATGCTTTTCCTCTTTCCCAGTGTTTTCCTTCTTCTGTACTTTGCCACTCTATCTTCCCTCTTGTTAGAAAGGTAAATCTTTGAACATAACAGTTTATTATGCCCTCTTTTCATACTATCTGGATTGGAATAAGAAAGTCACAGACTCTAAAACTCATTGCAAACTCCTTGTGTTGCCCCATTTTGGGGAAGGAGGGGGAGAAGTTGGGAAGGAGAGAGGTGATGTTAATGTTTTTCTGTTTGAGAAAAACCACACCATAACTGGTACTTGGAAAAGGCACATTGCTTTTAATGGTATTTCAAACTGTCAGAACCAACAAATTTTAGGCTTCTTACTTTAGTGCTGAAATAGGAAATTATAGAATGATAATTTTGTTTGGGTTGGAAGAGACCTTCAAAGATCATCTAGTCCCCCCACTCTGCTGTGGGCAGGGACATCTGTCACTGGATCATCCAACCTGACTTCTAACATTTCCAGTGATGGGACATCCACTTTTCTGGGCAACCTGTTCAAGTTTTGGGGTCAGCATACATCACACACCCAAAATATATCTATTTCCAGCTTATTTAGTTTTTCTGTATTCTGGCCCTTTTGCTCATGACCTCTGTGAGCACCCAGTTGCTTGTCTGGGCTCTAGAGCTCTCTGCTATGGCACATTACTCTGAAATTCCTTATTCTCTCCCAAGGATCTCAGGCAACTCATGATTGGTTTGCATCAGAGCTCTTGTGTCTCTGACATACATAGAATTCTCTGTGCCCCATTGGTTTCTTTTTGCTGAACAGGAGCCTGTTATTATTTTTTTTTTTTTTAATTTTATTGCCATGGTTGGGGAAGATTCTCTTTTGCCAGATCACCAAACCGCCAGCATGGAGATGCCAAATATCCATATGTCCCTAAGCAATTAGTTGGATAGGGTTTGGTGTGTGGTATTCAGGAGTAGTCAGTATCATTTGGTTTTCTCAAATCAGTATAGCTTTTTGTTTCTTGTTGAAAATTACTTTCTGCTCTTAACAACTTCTCTTAAGCACTTCTCGAAACTCTTTTTTGAAGAAAACACATTTCTGATATAGGAATAATAGACCTTTAGTTTTCCAAATTTCAAATTTCAACTTAAATGTCTACTTTTCACATTTAAAAAAAAAAAATAAAATATTTAGAGAAAGTCTGTCATTTTTCTGAGAAACTCTCTTAAAAAATAATTTTCAGTTCCTTGCTTTTCTCTCTGCCAGTATTCTCTGGCAGGTGGGTGATTTTCTGGCCGGGAGGCCTCCTACACATCTGTTTTCTTCTTAGCCTGGTGAGGCTTATAGGCCAGGGATTGCCCCTGTACTTGTACAGCTGCCGAAAGCAGAAAACTGAACCTCTTCACAAAATCAAGTTCAGCTGATTTCATTCTCCCAACTCAACATCCGGTCACAAAAACAGAGGCTTTTTTTTACCGGTCTCAGATCTCTCTTATTTCCCCATGAAAAGTTACACAGACTTCTATGGTAGCCAAGGGGGAAGCGTCAAAGCTCTCCTCAGTGGTCACCATGATTAACCTGAAGCTGTGAGCCAGAGCTGCATTTCATGAGCCCAGAGTTTTGCCACGCAGGAGGCTTTGGCTGCAGTGAGGGGTGCCACATTAGAGAGGAGCTTCCAGACTCTTAACAGCAAGTCTTGCAATAACTGTTGATCAAATAAAGTTTCTGTTCACAGCACAGAGCCAAAAACTGGTTTTGATTGCAGCCTTGAGGGGTATTTCTTGGCTTGTAGTCAATGTTTTAAGCAATGTGCAGCTCTATAAGTCATTAACAACGTTTGAAATCTCTTCCTTCTTACTATTATCCTCAGAGATGTGGAATGAAGACTATTTATCTTCCCCTCATATTTCGTTATGATTATTAAGCCATAGGAATGAAGACGTACATAAGAGTTGAATATAGCAGGCCTGTTCTAGCTGTGTCAACATTATTTTTAGAAGAAGAGAGTATATTCAGAAATATGGCTAAGTTTTCCTTTTTTCTTCTCCTAACTGTATTTGTGTACAAAGATTTCAAGATTTCACAATACCATGTTATATATGCACTCTTTTTGAAGCAGTAATAACAAGGTTTCTCACTGCCACATTACCAAGACACTTAAACAAGTCTCTTCATTAATAATGTTGCCTATACCTTCAGATTCCAGTGTCTGGTCTCACCACTACTTGCTCTCAGCTGCCTTCCCCCCCACACACTGTATTTAAAGCTATTTTGGATGTCCCATCTGTACCACTGGGTCCTACCAGCTCCTATAAAACAGATCCTCAGGCCATCTCTGAGAATTAAGGAGAGACCAAGGTCCCACACAGAGACGATGTGTAAGCGCTTGCAGATGTGTCCCCACTGCACCCCTGCAGCAGCTGTTTCCAGCTGGTACCACCATTTGCTGCTGTGCAGTGCCAGGCAGAGGTGCTAGTGAGGGTAGGACGTGAGGATATCTGCATTAGCGCTGGGTTACATGGCAGCAAAAAAGCAAATCTTGTTCAGCCAGGCTTTGACCAATGTGGCTGTGCTGATCCTAATCCTGGGGGCACCTTGGGCCGTGCAGCACCTTTACTTGGTGCAGTGTAGGTACATCTTGAAGTCCTTCATGACTTTCTAGCTACATGGTTGAGCCCTGTTTTCAAACAGTCATTTACTTGACATGTCCACACATTTACTATCACAGTCAGGCTCCTCCATGCCAAATTCTCTTCGGAAAATAAAAGTTGCTGTTATAAAACACTGCAGGCAGTGGGGGGACTTATTGTCACATCTGAGGTGTACAAGTGTTAGTTCTTTTAGCCCCTTTATCTGAGAATAGGAAGATTGCAGTGGTGAAGATGCTGCTATTGCTGGCAGTGGGAACAGACAGGGCAAGCTGCAATGGGTACAGAGCCTGAACTGTCCTCTCCTTCCCAAATCCATTTAAATTTTGGATTGGCAGGTCGCTGTAGAGGAACATGGTCACCTGATACACTTGTTCCCTAGATGGAGGGGACTGAAATTTCTCAGGCTTTTAATCTGTCTCATTTTATGAGACAGAGCACTACAGCTACCCTTAAATATAAATGAGATGCCTACAAGCCCATGTGCATTTTCACGTTGTACAATTTTTCTCCTAAAAGCAAGGTTTCGCCTGCTCTGAAGAATGTGCTTTTTTGCTGGACACATCAATTTGCAGATTCTCCCTATTGGCCATGTCCTTTATCCTCTGCTTCCAGGTCACCGTGGCACTGTGTTGGAGTCTGCAGGAGCAGGGACTGTCTCATGACTTGTTCATGTAGCACCTACAAAAATGAGATTTTAATCTAAACACACATCCCTAGCACATAAATGCAATAAATTGGCATAATGAAAATGGATAAACTGGGAATGCAGCTCACTGTGGAAATAGTACCTAATATGGGAATAATTTCTAACTCTTAAGGGTTCTAGTGTTCCTTTCTGCTTTGCTTTGAGCGCTCAAAAGCATGCTCACTGCAAGATGGTTTGTGTTAGGAATGATGACGTTTGCTCAATTAAATTTCAAAAATATCTAAGTGGCAGCCCTACTGGGCCAGAGTCAAGAACTTTTCTTTTTCAGGTTTTCTGGTGGTCAGGCAATATTAGAGGTTGGTGACTAGTGAGTTTTCAGTTCATACTTTTAACAACACATTGCTGATGGTAAATATAATTTAATTCTTCAGTCTAGAAGCCTTATCAATACAAATCTGTCTTTATAACCTAGTTATGCTTCACTAGCCCAAGGCAGAGCAGCATTAACTAATAATTCTATAGATATGTGGATGGCTTTTATTAATAGTATAACCAGGCATTTTATCATAGAGATTCTGCTAACTTTGTTAATGTCACTGTTGTGGTCCCTAAGAACCAGTGCTCATAAGCAGAATCATGCTACATTGGAGTCAGTGAGGAACAAGATACACATGCTCCAAAGCAGTTCACTGTAAGAAAAAATTGGATGGATATGAGCAGGATCATGGCACCAGAAGAAGATAGAACTAAATGTAAAGTATAGCAGTCACTTGGGCTTTTTCCTAAGTAGCCTCATACAGCCCTCAGATTATTATCCATTATTGTTTTTTCAGGTTGGTGGCAATGAAGTTGCACCAAGAAGTCCAAGAGCAATCAGGAGAGACTTCAGGGCTTCAGGATGGTTGCTTAAGGGGTCGGGAGCACAAGTACTGTTCTCCATTATAATTCCAATTGCAGGGAATGATGAGGGAAGAAACAGAAAGAGCCAGCAGATCAATACCTGGCTCTGAGCCTGGTGTCACCACAAAATTTTGGCATTTTTGATTGTGGTTTGGTTTACATGACAGCATTGCTGCTAGTGACAGACAGAGCACTGAACACCTGTCTCAAAGTGGGAAAGGAATCTTTGCATTGGCTATTAGGAAATACTTTTTCACTGAAAGGGTTCTCAAGCATTGTAACAGGCTGACCAGGGAAGTGGTTGAGTCACCATCCCTGGAAGTATGTAAATGATGCGTAGATGTGGCACTGAGGGACATGATTTAGTGGTGGACTTGGCAGTGATGTATTAAGGGTTGGTCTTGAAGATCTTATAACTCTTTCCCAACATTAATGATTCTATGATTCCATTCTGACCTATCCATGTGCCTTTAAAAAAAAATACTGAAGATCCTTTCTGTAGGTAGGTCAGAACTTACTTGTCTTGTAAGCAGTAGCAAGCATTCAGATACCAGTAAGACCATGTAAAGCTGTGTGTGTGTATAAAATGTTGTTAATTCCCAGCACTTGCTGGTACTCCTCGAGCTCCAAAGCATGCATACAATCCAGTATGTGTCGCAGCTCCCCCCAGGCCTTCTGACAGTATCCCTGACAGATGAAAATGTGTTTCATGTGGGTGGGCTTTCTAATTGCAGCACATTCCAGCAAGGTACAGTGTTTGGTGCTAGTGCAGCTCTGAGGGAACTGTAGCTGCTCTGTGTGCATTTTTCCGTGATGCCATCTTTGCTTTCCATTTTGTCTCGATTCAGTTGTAATTAGGATCATCATAGCTACCACAATACTGCTGCTGCAGAGCTCCCCAAAATGACTGGCCCTGTCAGGGTACCTGGGACAGTGAGCAAAGGTTGTGGGGCCTCTGTCTGCCAGCTGAGGAGAACAAACGGAGCTGCTGGGAACAAGTCATTGTGGACTGAATATAGTTTGGGGTGAAAAGGCTAGCACAGGCACTTGGCTGCCGGCGTGCTCTTGGGTGGAGAGAAGCCCTGAGTCAGGCAGCACTTTAGTGCCATGACTTCACTTTGAGGTTTGGGTCTGGCCTTGAGGGCATCTCAGAGCCATGGGAGACATTGAGGGCATTATTGGGGCTTTTTATGTGTGTGCTGTCAATTCATTATGGAATTCAGAAGGCAAAAGTAAAGCTTTTGGCCAAAGAAACAGCAATTAGTGAGGAGGTGCTTACAGCTGGAGAGAACAGACAGAACAAGTATCCAACTGGACAAAACAAGTTGTATATAAACAGTCTCTAAAACTGTTTACGAAGTCCAAAAGAAATCAAAATACAAAAGATTTTTTTTCTGTCTGAGAGCAGAGGATACAGATGTTGGTTCTTTTTCCCTTCCATCAGTGTTGGGCAGCAGTGTTGGTGGTGACACTGTCTGTGACTGTGGTGTTTTGGGGTGTGAGGCTCCCCATATTGCACAAGTACTTCCGTTAGTCATATAGCCATTTCTGCAGTCTCTGCCACGTGCATCAGGAGAAGCATAACAACTACAGGCACCCCCTCATTTGACTTCTTTCTCTTCTGCCATTCTCCCTGTATCAGAGCACCAAATCATCCATTGCGCTGCAGCAATCAGTCATTAATAAGAACCTTGCTACTGCCAGGGCACTTCTCAAGCCACTGCAGTCAAGGTTACTTCTGGGAAAGACAGAAAACAAGTTAGATTTTCAGCTGCTGCAAAAAGGAAAGAATACCATTTAAAAACCTATGTTTTTAATTTTACCTGCTACCCAGGGCAGCACTGTAGGGCTGCAGCACTGCAGAGGGATGCCTTGTTAGAAGCTTGTCTTGCCAGTGCTGCCATGATGAGTAAGTAAAAACTTAGCAAATAGATCCCCTTTTCCCAAAAGAGGGGACACCCAGAGGATGAAAAGAACTAGCAAACATTACAGAGTTTAAGGCGTGAAGTTGCCAGTATCTGGCCAGAGAGAGAAATTGCTTCAGGTGGCCAGAGAAGGCTTCATGATTCCTCTGTTTAGCAGGAAAGGAGCCTGCTGAAGTGTCTGTGTGGAAGCAGAAATAAAGGACTATCGCCAGGATCGTTAAGGGAACAGAACCTGCTGCAAGGAAGCATGGTCTGGGTTGGTTGACAAGAAGCAGAAATACCAGCAGCAATTGCCTCCTGCCCTGGGATATCCTTTCTTCTATCATTTAAATCTGAGTGAAGCAGCTGGACTGTCAACACTCATGGCAAGACCACGTATGCAGGACCACAAGTCATGTTTCTGTGACAAAATGTGGGCTGGAGGAGAGCACAACATGCTGCTGCTGGCTGAGGGAGGAGGAGGCAACACAGAGGAGAGAGGCTAGGATTTCTTAACCTTTACTGTTAGTTTCTCAGAAGGAAGACTGCAGGACCAGCTCTTTAGCTAGCATAAAAAGACACATATTCATGGAGCTGAACAGTGTTCATTTGCTTCACTAGGAAAAGCACAGAAACACAGAAATGTTGGTTGGAAGGGTCCTTTTTAAGGCCCAAGGTCCACCAGGCTCCTGCTTAGCACAGGACTATCACACTACATCAGATCAGCTTTGGCATTGTCTAGCGAAGTCTTCAAAGCCTCCAAACATGGAGAATGGAGAGTCTCCCTCTTGGGAGATGTTTTCCCTAATGTCCATTCTCCTCTCCCAAACTCCATCCTGGACTTGTTGTCCCTCATTTGTCCATTTGTTGCTTGCAGGAGGGATTAGGCTCCGTCAGTCCCCCATTGAGGGAGGCATGATTTGCAATAGGCTCCTGTTAGATCACCCTCCATCCCCCTGCCTATGGACTAAACCCACCCAGCTCCCCCAAGCTCCACTCCTGCTGTGTACCCTCTGCCCCAGCTATCTCAGTACACCTCTTACTGGGCCTGCTTTCACTGAAGGGTCCAAAGCAACATGGTATGTTGCTGGTGGCCTCTGGAGAACAGCAGCTTCCCTCTCCCTGCCAGCTAATGAGCCTCCTTCTGCAGCCTGCCAAGCACTTTGTCCCATTGGCGATGCCAGCACATGCTGGGCTCAAACAAGGTATGACCCGTAATTCATAGCAACATGAATACCAGCAGAGATTTCATTCACTGCACTGGAGATAGTACAGTAAGCAAGCAGTTTCAAAAGCCAATTTCATAGACACAGAGATTACATTAATCTCTTCTAATAACTAAACAATTCAGTTTTCAAGATAGGACAAAGCATGGGATATTCTTGACAAAACTGGTGCTTCAAAGGTGCCTACACCAGATTTAAAATCCTAACTCTTAAGCTCCTAATGATAGAACCGATTGTATCTTTGCAGACAGTAGTGCTGCAAAACTTGCATTTAATCTCCTCTTTTTATAACATGCTGTAGCTGCCTGAGCTTGCCTATGGGAAGCAAATGTAGATTGTCTTTGCCTTCAAATACCATATGAGGAAACTTACTCAGCCCTCACCAACTGATCTTGGGAGCCTGTGGAATGATAAAAGCTCAAGTTATCAAAGTATCTGTAAACTGCCTTCTGATTTCTAGCTGGAGTACCTCCCTGAATCTGGACCCTTTGATTTAAGGTAGCTGCTTTCTTTCACCATGTCTCAACAGGCAGTAAAGGGCATAGCTTTAATTCCTGTTGGCTCAGTTGCATTAGCTCAACATGACTGAAAACCCCTCTTCACCTCCAGAAATGCAGAAGTGAATGTGGATCTACATTGGAAGCTTCTGCCTGTGTACTAAGTACCTTGTAATATTCAGGGATGTTTCCATATTGCCAAAAATATTGGTGTGATTTGCTTTTCTTTTTGACACTGTTTTGCTTGGAGAACCCAAATTATCTGTCCCAGAGAAGGCACTATTTATTGAGCTAGACTGCACATTTTCAGAGAATTTTCAGGTCTTGTGGTCTAGCCATATCCATTTTGGGCTGATTTTTAGTGTTTGTGTTGTGATTTAGGCCTCTGACAAATAAGGTCTGGCAAATGATGGTGAGGTGACTGACCCACCCAGCTGTTTTTATTGCTCTGCTGGCAAAGATTACGGTCCCTGCAGCAGAATTGGCAGAAGACAACGTGACAACATACGTCCAGGGCAGAGCTGCTCCAAATGGCATCTGAGTTGAAATCTCCAAGGACATGGGATTAGACTAGACAGAAGACTGTGAACTAGAGATATTCAGATGTAGTCTATAGTGGTTTATGCCCACCAAAACCAGCACTGCTTCTGTGCCTCAGGTCCTTACAGCTTTTACCCCATGTTTCTGCGCCCTCTTTGCACCAGAACTGGCAATCATCTGATCATAATAGGAGATGATATAGACAATTCAAGCCAGCCAAATGATTCACCTAGAAGGTGTGGAAGGGACTAAAGCACCAATAATTTCTATCAGATTAATCATGATACCTCTCTCTCAGATAATAGTAAAAGTGTCCTTGTGTCTCAGCTGCACTCCAGCCTTTGGTGGTAGAGTGGTATCAAGTAACAGAGGGTGATAATGTCTTCATCTGTTCATTTGTTTTCCAACCAAACAATAATCTGAGGGCAGAGTCTCCCCCAGATGCTCCTGTATGGCCGGCTAGCAAGGCCTCTGCTGCCAGGGATATTACCTCTTATCCTTTTGGGTAATCTCCATTCTGCCATGGGAGTAACCTGCCATAGTGGTGGCCCAGCTGTCAAAAATGGAGCTGGCATTGGCCCCTTGTCTCTTTCCTTTCATGAGTCAGAGAGTGGCTGGCCTGAGGCTGCCCTTACACCCTAGTGGAACAGCGAGCTGGAGCCACAGCAGGAGCAAGTTAGAACTGACTGACCTGAGCAATATTTCCAGGCTAAAACACAGGAGAGTTTTCCTCTCCCTGGCCTGTTACTGACATGGCAAAATTCAGTGAAAAAACAACTGGGCTTTAAATATATAGTGAGCCTTTCCCCACCCATTACCACCTAACTGATAAGCTGCTCCAGGCTATCTTGTTTATGAGTGTTTAATACCTCTTAGCATTTGTGTTTGCCTTGAAGCTACAGGCAGCTATGTGCTGTACTGTGCTGAATATTCGTGCCATAAGTACAAACAGATGTTTGAAGATCTGCTTTGAAGCAAACTTGACCCTCTGCATTCTCTCCCAAGACTCCTCAGGAATATTATGCATCACTATATTCAGAGCAAAGCCTTGAAGGGCAGGAAGAGAGGATACACATAGGAATAGTTAGGAACAGGAACACATAGTCACGTATCTATTGCATAAATGCTTCCAGCAGCACTTCGGACATCAGTTTGCATAAACGAATTTGCAGGACCTCATTCCTATAAAGCAGTTTCTGCTGCGTACAGATCTTTTAGGCTTGCTGGTCTGAGATCAGGCTCACTATCCAGATTCTTGTTGCCCTCAAGACCTATCGCCTACAACCCCAATAATTGCCCTGATAGCAAAAATCTCAGAGTAAGCAGAGATAGTAAAACCTGAGCCATGTGCATGGATGGCTCTTGTGCACTCATATTCCTTCTGTCAGCTGCTTATAGGGGTTGAAAACCTTCAGAAGGCAGATACAAGTGATATGAAATTGCCTGAGTTAAAAACTCGACTCTGAGTCGAAAACTCAGAATCAAAAATTGTGAGATACCCCATGATACTGCATGCCACGTGTAGAGTAATGGGTAAGCTTGCACGGCTTCTGCCTCAGGCAGAATGCAACAGAAAACCTGACAGGGAAAGGTAAGATGGTAGCGGTGAAAGCAACCAGGATTGGGTGGTGATTGCTGCATGGGAGGTTGCAGTCAAGACTCTAAAATGACTTAAACCACTGTTGTATACTTTTGGATTTGTTTCTTCTTTTCTTACATTTTGGAGGAGAAGAGGGTGTGTCTGGAAGTTCAGATGCTAGCTTGGGACTTAGGCCATATTTATCCAGGTTTCTGCCTTGCCAGTAACTCCCTTCGGTAAGCTGCTCCCATCCTTCTGCCTTTTGCCCCTCATTCTCCAAGGAAAAATGATGCTCCTGTACCCCTGAGATGTATAAGATTAATACTTGTGAGGCATTCAGGTACAGTGCGAGAGAGAACCATATCAGACCCTGAAGATGTTTGCTCTGCATTACCTTTTGACTGTAGACTGTGGACAGCCAAGGGGATCCTCCAGAGCACTCAATGTAGCTGACTTTCAAATGCAAAGCAGTGTTTGACCTGAGCTACACAGGAACTGATGTTGAGCTGTAAATCTCTCTCATTCACTCTGCAGAATGCTATCTCTTAATTCTGCTTCATTTCACACCTTTCACATTTCTTGTTTAAACATGAAAACTGTTCATATCTTTATTTATATAATTCATTTTCTTTTGCTAGTAACCACTCTTTTGTCTTGCCTAATTCCACTTCATCTGAAACCGTTCTTCCTCCTTTTCTCCTCCTCCTCATCTAGCTCAGGTGGAAACCACCCATCACTGGGACACTGCTAGAACTGTGTGAGCAGGTAAATCTCAGGATTTATATATCCTGCTTCCCAGCTCCTGCCTCCTACTCAGCACCCAGGTGAGGCTGAGGTGAGAGGTTATTCCTTCCATCTGTGCTGTTTTTGCTGGTTACAGAATAGGTCGACGTGTTCTGAGCAAGGAGTTGGTGAGCAGCTTGGTTCCTCCATGGGCTAGGCCTCTGAGAAGCACTGTGGTCTGAAACTGGAGCTTGCTGGAGGGGTAGCTGGGGAGAGAAGGAGGGGCAGGGGCAATAGTATGGGATCACTGTGAATCCAAGCCTTTAAAGGTCCTGTCTCTGCCCTCTCCTTATTTTTTTCCTTTCCCAATTTGTAAGGAAAGTCTAGCAGCTAAGAATCTAGGCTGGGACTCACGAGACTTACTTGATTTAGTTTGATTTCTTTGGTTTAGATATGTGAAACAGTATTTCACTCTAGGGGGTAGGAGTCAGCAAAGTCAGGAGTGGGAATACAGGACTAGAGCCAGTAAGGAGCTGACCACATCTTCGGCAAGAAGCTGTTAGACTGACTCAGTTGTAACATGCAACTGCATCTGCCAGCCAGTGGGGCCATCCATGTTGTCATCCCGTGGTCCTGTGCCCTCTTGCTAACAGTCTTTTCCTTCCCTTGTAGTGGTGAAGCTTGGAACAATGAAAGAGTCTAGTAAGGACTGTAGCTATGATCACAAAAGTATCTGTTTGGGAGCCTGGCAGCTGCTTGCTTTACCCCTCTTTACTCAGCACCCTCTAAATTGACCTGAGTGGAGAAAAGAGGCCATTTTGGGGGACAGCCAACTGCTGGGCCTTCTCTTGAGGATTTGTACATCAATGGTGTAGGTAACAACTCTTGTCAGAGATGGTGGTGCCTGCAAGTCATGTACAGCAGGTCTCCTTTAGGTAGCAAGGAAATTTGTGATGTTTTTGTTTGACATCTGCAGCCTCTGTGGAAAGAAGACAGTATGACTCTTGCCTTGCATTTGCAGCTAAAACCTTATCAAGGGCTGAAAAGAAAATGAACCTCCATTTTTTAATCTTCTGCAGTTCAAAGAGTGTTTTTCTAGTGTAAACTGAGAGGCGTAGGGCTCTGTGGGAGTGATTACCTACTAGAAATTTATTTTGCGTGGCTGTAAGTGGCTCAGCAAGATAGGATGGGAATAAAGAACGAGCCAAACCTCCAGATAACTCTACACGTGAGGACTCATTTGCCAGGTTCTTTCACTCCTTCAATCTCTTGTTCTTTCAAGACAAAGGAAACCTTTCCAAGGGAACTGACACCTACTGATAGTGTTTTGTGTTTTGTTTTTTAAAGAAAACCCAAGTTATGCTGGAAACTATGACCTTCCCAATTTTAAGTCAAACCAAATAAATATGCTTGGGGTTTGCCTTTTGTCTGTTCAGTACCAGCTTTTCTGTGCCCAACATGAGTCTTTTGAGAAATCCTCTAAGAATATGGAGGCCAGAAAGGCAGCTCCCAGACTCTGTTGCCTTCACAGTGGCTGACAAAACACATAAGAGCTCAGGCACCCAACAACGCCACATCCCAACAGGTCAGCACTCCATTTTTCCCAGTGCTGACTGTTCTCTCTGCAGGGTTTCCTGATCAATCTCATCTTTTAAGGAGGGACTGTGTCCAGTTCCCTTTTAGAAAAGACAATTTTTAAAATTGTCCTTGTGTGAAAGAAAATACTGTATTCACCAGCAGTGAAAACAGAGGGCTAGGTGCAGTCTGGCCTGTGCTGTGCTGATGTGATGAGGCTAGGCCATGAGTCCAGCAAGTTCTGCTCATTTCTACACTGTGTTTTGGTAAGCCAGCATGTACAGTATTTTTCCTTTACCTTAGAGCTTCCTTCCAGGACTCTGGCAGTAATTTGATCCTGCTTTGATAAACCATCATGCAGACACAACATGGAACTGTAGTCCTAATGACCTGTGTTATTTGAAAATCAAATGACACTTTCTGAGAAGGAAGTTCTTTAGTTACAGTGTTTTCCTGAGATAATTATATCAAGGCAGATGATTACCCTCCCCTGTAGTTTCATTTATTGCTCACTTTGTCTAAACTCTTGAATTCTATTGCACTGCATTCTTTTGTCCTGCTCCACCCCATCATTTCAAAATAGATTGCCTGTTTGTTTAAAAGTACAGCAAAAACTTTAAAGTCTTGAGGAGAGAGATGCCATGTATTTACTGTTATGAGGTACAGTTTGCCAGTTCTATTTCAACTGCCTTGTTGCACCAAATTGAGAAACTCTTTGACTCTTCATCTCCCCGTCTTCTAAACTAGCAAGATATAAACAGGAAAAGGGGGTGACACCTTTTGTTTGATATTGTTTGACTCTCAAGTCAGTTTGGGCTCTGATACTAATAACTTCCTGTTTTGCTGTAAGTCTTCAAACAAGTGAAGAGCCTGCATATGCATTCACTTTTCAACCTGAACTTAAGCAACTACATGACTAGCATGTTCCCAGGCTCTGGGCTACAAATTCCAGTTTGCTGCTTACCTCCAGGCCAAATTTTTAGAACTGGGAGTCAAATCGCTGAAAATCGGGTGCCTAAAGCCACAGTTGGTTGCCAAAATGCAAATGACCTGACAGCCACAACAGCCGAACACCTGCTGACCCCTATAAGAAGCTTGGAACTTGAGAGGGCAGAATCTATACAAATTAGACTAATTTCGTGTTTGAACTCAAATAAGGATCCTAATTTGAAATGCTGGACTGCTAGGGATGTGCTCAGAAGCTAGAAACAGAAAAGAGGATCTGCAAAAATATGGAGTAAGATGCATTTGTGTAATATCGCTTGTGCAAGATGCTTGTGAAATGTAATATGTATTGCATTGCATTGTTTTTCACAGACACTTAAAATACCAAGACTTTTTCTTTTCCAGCTATCTAAATAATTTTCCCTGTGAACTGAACTGCTTCCTCTGGATAATACACTGTTTTTCTACCTGCTGGAGAGGTGGAGTCCCCCTGAATGTACTGCTGCTCTGCATAACCAGGAACTGTCTCCTGAACACAGAGTAAGACAGAACAGCTTGGACTTAGCAGTCCTGTGAGATTTACAAATCAAACCAGCTAATCAAGATTTAAAACAGCTCTAGATTGAAAAGACTAGCAAGTGGTCCAGCTGTGAGTTAATTCATTAGTTGCAGTAAATATCACTAGAAGAGCTTGTCAAAAGGAAATGTGAAGCAGCTGAAAAGAATCATCCTTAAAGTGAATGTCATAGGCTTTTGCAGCTGTCATCCAGTGGACTGGAGATTCCAGGCATTGGAGAGAAAATGAGGGTGAAAGAAATAAAAATTTGAGTACAGAGGATAAAGTACTAGTTCCCACTGAGTGATTATAAAGGAAGCAATCTTACCACTACAGGGACCTAATTAGAGACTGAATCTCACAACTGTCTAATGTCTCCTCCAGGACTCTGAGAAACCCGAACTAGCTAACACAGTCCACTCAGACGAGCAGCACTAGGAGGCTCTGCTGCTTCAGGGCACACTGGAATTGCCACATTTATGTAGCTGTGGGCATTTTCCAGTGTTCTTGTGTCCTGTTCAGCACTCGCTTAGAACCAAAGCAGCAACACTGTTTTCTTGCCTGGCCAGCACAGCGCCATCTTGGTCCTACAGAAGGCAACAATGGGCTTCTACTACCACATACCTGAGTATCCCTAAGGAAAGGCATCAGGACCCTTTGTACCAGGCAAATATAAGAGTTAGTTGTCAGCATTAACAAAAGAGAATTTCACATTTCTATGACTGATCTGATGAATCACTACTTTTCTTGCTCCCCAAAATGTGTAGATCAGGTGTGAGTCCTCAGGCCTTCCTGGAGTCGCCAGTGCTGTCAGTCAGGGCTTGCCTGTATCAATTCACTTAAGCCTGGGTGCAGGGCTCAGCTCTCCCACCTTGATCCACCTATTGCTTGTGTGAGACACTGTCACCCTTCTTTCCATCCTTGTGGAAATGTGGAAACACTGGCCATAGTTTGAGGCTAACCTTTGGCAGCAGTGCCCACTGCTTTTCTAGCTGCTCCTTTCAGCTTCTGAGCTGCAGTGCATCACCTCATCATTGATGTGCCAAGCAGGGAACCCCCTGACTTAGGTTTTTTCTTTGGTGATTTCTTCTAAGCAGCAACAAGTTTTTGCTAGATTTTATTTATGACTGATCATTTCTGGCCCCTGGTCCTCAGTATTTCCCTCCTGGTGCAAGGAAGCGCTGTGACAGCAAGTAGCCATGCTCTGGGGTCAGCAGTGGGGTGAGCAAGGAGGAATCTTTTTGCCTGGTATTGCCATGAAAGGCACGTTTAATGTAACGCTGTCCCCACAGAGTGATTCTGTGCAGGTGAGGCTTCAGGGAAGTACAAGGATCTCTTCCAGTATTAGTGCTACTAGCAGTCACATTTTTCTGTAGCAGGATTTTCCAGGCATAGGGAAGGTCTGTGCCTTCTGAAACCACTCAGGTAGTTCAGTGCTCCTGGGAAGAAGAAGGATAACTGCACAGATGCATTGTGTTTGCAGGGACAGTGGTTTAGAGGTCTCTTCTGAAGCTGGGAGGAGGTAAGTGACCTGCCCAGAGAGAGCTCAGCCAATATCTGACAAGGACATTTTCATAACCAAGATAAATAAACAGATGCCTTTTTTGCTCTAGGGAAATAATTTCTTCTTTGCTACTAGCCTGAGACCATTCACTTGGCTTAGCCTGTATCTTTACCATATGAAACAAGCCTGAACCATTTCATTTGAGGTTGTTATTTATTTGGGTCAATATGAAACATTTCTGGCATTTCTTTTCCATTTTCCTGCCTTTATATGTTGCTGTCTTCACTCCTGTGTATATATTTTCTTCTCTATATCTCAGTTCTCCTCTCTTGTAATATTTTAAATCCTTAATTGCCTGATGCAGCAAATTGAGAGTATTAGTTACCTTCCATGACCACTCTGACCACAATGACTTCCTTTGCTTGACAAGGTGATTAATTTGTCAAGTTGAATGTTTAAGTCTGTCTGGAGTATCTCTGTGTATCTTGTGCAAGATTGCAGTTGCAGGTTTGTTCCTTATTGGACATGCTGTTTCTTCAGACACAGAATACCTCTGAGGGGCTTTTCTTCCCCCACTTCCCTACTGAGAGTGATGCTCCTGCAGTTTATACCAATGATCATATCCTGCATGTCCCCTAGGAGAGGGTAAACAGCAGGTGCAACATGGAAGCCATAGCATCAGCAGTGCTTTCAGATTGTACAGTGGATATAATTGAGGGAAAATAGCAAAACTCAAGTAAATTAAATGCATTTTGTAGCAGTTCCTGAGGGAGAACAGACTGCATTGTTTGTGAGCTTCTATCCAGGTCAAGCAGGCCGGATCTTCCACAGAGAAGTTGCTGACTTTGGCCCCAAAATATCATTGTTAAGGTAAGAAAAATATCCAAATTTCTCTTAATTTTTCCTAGTTGGTACATTATAAAGGCATTCAGACCACTGTAGACATAAGCATTCAGGAAACAACACTAAGCAACACAAAGAACAAAAAACAGTAGGTACTTCCTGAGAAGTTTGGAAAACTGACTCTTATACCACTGAGGGAGTGTAAGTCCTAACAGCTACAGTAGCCGCATGTCACCTGGGACCAGAGTGTGAATGATTCTTTTGTAATATTACTTGGTGAATGTCTCAACATCTTGAGCTCATTGCAGAAGAGAAAAAAAAAGCTGGACAGTGTTATTTTCTGATAGCACTGGAACATTAATTTCTCTGTGATGGTATCCAACTGTCTTGGGTATCTGAGCAGGCAGGTCAAAGGAAAGCAATGTGTAGACTTGATTTTCGAAAGCACCTTTTTCCAGTAAGTGTGAACTTATTTTCTTTTAGGAATAATATTTTTTCCTGGCATATTGTAACAGAAATAATAAAATAAACAAAAGCATAGTATACTTGTAAGATGAACCTCAGAGCTATACTGGGCAAGAAGCTGTCTCAAGGCAGCCTTTGTTTCCCCAGGGACTTGCACTCTAGCCACTCCCTGCCCTGGGCTAGTGTGCTGGGATGCCCTGGCCTGTCCTGTCCTGGTCTCCCCCCTGTTCTGTAGCTCTGAGCCCCGCCACTTCCTGTCCTCGGAAAGGCAGAGGTGGTGGAGCAGGCTCCCAGCAGCTACAGAGGAGCAGAGGGTCTCCATCAGGGCATCTCCTTGCAGGAGATGGAGAAGACACCTCTGCCATAGGGTTGCAGCAGGGGCAGTCACAGGCTTCCTTCTACAGCTGGCAGCACTCTGCTTTTTCCCATCATTTATTATCTGATGTCTGGTTTTGTCTGTTTTGTGCTGGCTTTTGGGACACCTCCTCCTTGGGCTGCCAAGGATGGTGGCAGTGTCCTCACACCAAGGGTATTGACCCCGGCCCTGGGCACAAAGCATCCATCCCCACTGCTTGCCTGACCCTCCCCTTGAGACCTACTTTTACTGGGAGAAACAAGGTAACCTCGCCACTGAAAATAGCTGGGACGGCGGCCAGTGGAGATTAATGGCATCATTAACGTTCTCAGTTTATTTATAGGCTTAAAAATGCCTCGGACCCGCAAACTGAGCAGAGTTGTTCTGTGTAACACAGGGACTGACAGGTCTCCTGCTTCTGCCTTTCCCCTTCCTACTATTTCATTCTAATTGCTGGGACTGTAAAACCTCAGGAGCAGGGACTGTCTCTCATTGTGAACCTACTCTGTAAACCTTCCTAACTGGGGGGATGCACACAGATACTTTTTTTTTCCAAGAATGCTGTATTTGTCTGGTCTCCTTCCTCCACCAACTCCTTCTGTGCACACTGTGTCCCATGGCCTTCTTTGGGAAAATTATCTTTTAGATGAATTCCTGAGGCACGAGCTGAGCGGTTGTCACAGGAATTTTCTGTGATTTTCTGCCTTGGGTTTTAAATTATGCGCTCTGTAAGAGGAGGGCTAAGATTCTCATAGCTGTGGAGAGCACCTAGGATATGTAGGGCCCTAGTGAGGCATGCAGATGCAATTAATGATCATGGAGGTCTTTCAACAGGAGCCAGCAGAGGCAACCTAGCTCCCAGGTCCCCCAGGAACCTCATGGGACTGGCAAGAAAAGAAAAAAACACCTCAGGTGTGTTGGCCCCAGAAGAGGAGTTTTCAGCACGTAACGTGTGGCCACACTGCCTGGCCTGTTTCCCAGTACTTAGTGAAAGGTAAGTGAGAAAGGAGACTTGTTGTCAGCAGGCACAAATCCAAGGGATTGGCTGTGTGACTGGTAGATGGCTTCATGGGTGGGAAAAAAAAAGTAAAAATGCCAGTAGGGAGCCCTTCCACCCAGAAATATGGAGTGCCAGCATGGCAGCTCATGGAGGTGATGTCACTTCAGAGGACAGCTAACTCTGCAGTTTGCTGATGGGTTTTTGTTGTATCAATCTGAGATAAACTCCTGTGTCAGTCTCTCCTTGGCCTTTTTCTTCTAGGGGGTGAAATAAAGAACGAGCAGAGAATCACTCAAACCACTGTTGTCTTTTTTTTCCCTCTGGGCAATGAGAATACTTCAGAGCAGAGTGAAGGAGCCCAAAATGGTAGAAGGAGGATTTCTCTGCCATGGCCACAACAGGTGAAGCCACAACCTTGGGAGGCCCTGATCCACCAATATCTGGTGTGTTTGAGGTATCTCAGGGCCTTGCTTTCCCCTTCCCAGCTTTCCCGCTTGGGTTCTTGGCTCCAGATCTCCTCCATCCCCCCTTGGCCATGCCCCAGCTCTCCTGTCTGGGGAGTACAGTGCCTGCTCAGAATCTCACTGTCCATGGCTGTTAAATGGGACCATGATGTGTTCAAGTGCTCAGGGCCAGGTTGGATGGGGCTCTGAGCAACCTGGTCTGGTGGAAGGTGTCCCTGCCCATGGCAAGGAGATTGGAACTACATGATCTTTAAGGTCTCTTCCAACCCAAACCATTCTGTGATTCTATATAGTCCTTTGAAGAACAAAAGCATGAGTGCAGATATTCAGCCATCCAAAGATCCTAACTGGGAGAGTATTTTCATGTCTGATATACATAAGATCCTGTATCATTTTAAAGGATTCAAGGAAAAGTCAGGTCATGTGCAACATCTGAGACAAAGTGGGGAAAAGGTAATACCTAACTGTATTTATTTATTCTAGGAAAGAGATACCTCTTACACAGTTGTTTCTCATCTAAACTCCTGAGCACCTAACCAGAAAAGTCAGCACAACTTTCTCACTTACACTGATGTCAGTAGGGGAGTGAGTCTTGTGGCAAAAGGGACCATCTGCATCTCAAACTAATTATCTGCTTTGAAAAGTGAATATACAAAGTGGTAGGTTTTTTTAACAAGGTGGCTAAGCCATTTCAGCTCTGGGACACATATCTCTTGGACGTCAGTGCTACACAGTTTCTGTGGGATTGCTCACCCCTGATACAGAAAGCAAGAGCTGGGATTTTTTTCCTGTTTCAATGGGCTACACCCAGTTGTAACCATATTTAACCTTCCTTTTTCTTTCTGCCAACACTGGGTGGCACTAAGTAACTCCTTCTGAAGTTTTACAAAATTGACTCTAAAAACTTGAATCACACTGACTTGGCTCCACTCTGTCCTGACAGCAAATGGTTTTGTGTGAGAAACTTTCGATCATATGGTTGTTGCATAGAAACGTCTGACTCGTATGGCATGTTTTGTAGTTCCCTGGTTTGTTAAGTTGTTAAAGCCCCTCTGAATCTCTGGCCTCACAGTCTGGTAAAGGTTCAATGTGCTGTTGGCCTTGAAAGCCATATTTCCTGTATTGAGTTGAGAATTGATGGAATACTTGAAAATAACTGTGCTTTATGCCAGAGGTTTAAATAAATCTCACTCAATGGTTGAGGTTGGAAAGCACCTCTGGGGATTGTCTAGGCCAAGATCTCCTCTGCTCAAACATGGTCAGCCAAAGCAGGCTAAACCAGGTGGTCCCCAAAGGGTTCCAGGAGTCCCTCACCAGCCCCAATGTCTTCTTGGCCTGGACAGTGCCATGTCTGCTGGCCACCACAGCCAGCTGCACACTGTAAAAGTCCTGCTAAAATAAATCAGCTTTAAAAGAAGCACACCTACAAACACCTGGCTTTCACCCCCACTGGCTGTGCTCGACCTACAAGTGCCAAGGCTCCCATTTTAGCAGCCTGTTGTGGCTCCAGTGGGCTTTGGGGGACCCTGGTGACTGATGCTGGTGCCTATGGTGATGGAGGGGGGAAAAAATCAGTTTGTCCTCAGAGGATATCCCAGGTCTAGTGGGTGGCATCTATGCCCATGATGGGGATTTGGAGCTAGATGATCTTTAAGGTCCCTTCCAACTCAAGCCATTCTATGATTCTGTGCTTTGTGGCCATTCTCAGCTAAGCCACCTGTGAAGTCCCACTGCCATGTCCTGGTAACAAACATTAGCGTTACTGTGTTTATATTTGTCCCTAGGAAGGTGTTTAAAATATAAAAGACCACAGATGGCATAACCTGATGGGGTCATAAAGATTTGTGTCCTGAAAGCAAGGATATAGAAACACCAATGATAGTAGTTAAAAATCCTTGATATGGAAATTAAGTAACCAAATCTTGACTTGGCCATGCTGAGGGCAGTGGGAGAGGTGTGGCTGAGGAAGAACCTGCCCACAGTGAGAGATGAAGTCTACTGATGATCCTTGGTGTCTCCAAGCAGAAGAGCAGGCAGATAGTAAGACCAGCTGGTGGCTACATTAGAGCCAGAGCAGAGATGATCATATATGAAGCACTACCTACAGCTTCCCTTCCCACTCCTGTTGCAGTGGGAAGGGAATCATGACTGGGCTTCGTGAACGAAGATTTGGGAAGGGCTCTACCCACGTTTGTCACAAGCGCGCTGGTGGCTAAAAAGGCCAATACAAGACAGGTACGTCTGGTTGCAAAAGGCACAGCAGAAAGACTCCTTAGGTGGTATGCAAATGTGGGTAAGGCCTTCGAGCCTGCGCAATGGATTTTTTAGGTGAGACGCAGTATGTGTGGAACTGAACCCACCCTTTAATCCTAAGGTTCATCTTCCAGGGCCGAGCAAGTTTGGACGGTGGCAGTGAGGTCCTCAGGACGTCGGTTTGATTAGAGTGACCTTCTCTTAGATGGATGGCCTTACAGGGCTAATTAAGCTCCATCTGCCCAGGTTTAGAGTTGTCCTTCTCTTCTGTGTGCTCCGAGGCTCTCCCTCTCATCTCCCATGAGGGCGCAGTCCGCGCCGGTGAACCTCCCCCTCTCTCTCTCCTTTCCGCACCTGGGGCCAGGCCCAAGCGCCCAGGGCCGGGGCCACGCCATGCGCCCGAGTTCCGGGCCAGGCCGGGGCCATGCCATCACCACAATGGCCCTGGTTATTCATTGTGGGAAGGTTATTCAGTGGGAAGGGAATACAAGTAGATCAAATGATTTCTGAAGAACAGTTTATTCATTGAAAAATACAATTTCTGTTTGAGCAAAGCTATCTGACAATTGGTGCGCAATCCATTTATCAGAATTAGCCCAGAAAATTAAAAACATCAAAATTACTTGCTTTTTTTTAAAAAAACCTTTTTTGAAGCTGATCTCACAAGGAAGCCTCAGCTGGAGTGAGGATTTACCTGATGTGCTACATCTTCAGGCTGTGGGACAGCCTGCAACAGGGCTCTTCTAATCCTCTTACTTGGAGTATAATGTTGTCTAAATTACTTACACTGTTTATTGGACCAGGTAGAGCAGAAATATCTGTGGGGCTAAACTGCCTGACCCAGAGAGCTGCCCTGGGATCTGGGAGGTAGTGGATGAGAGTAGTTGTGTCAGAGTAGAAGAGTTGGCTGCTCAGGGCCAGCCAACATGAGGTAGGTTGGCTCTGACTGCATGACATGGCACTTAACTCCAGCTTAACTTGGCCCTGTGTGTTGTGCCTATGGACCTAAGAGAAAACTAATATTTTTTTAGGTTTGGTGTTTTCTTGTCTCAGCATAATATGCCCAGGATAAAGAAGACAATGCTATAGCTCACAAGTGTTGGGATTCCATAGGGTGTGTTGCATGCCCTGAACTGAGAAATGAGAGCATTCAGGAGAGCTGGAGGATAGAAAGGCTGAAGGGACCATGCTGGAGGAGTATCATGAGGGAAGGGAGACAAAGCTTGTCCATGTCACTCTTGAAAGTTGTCCCTGGAGTAGCTATGCCCAGAGCAGCGCTGCTTGGCGGATGGAAGGAGCTGCTTGTCCAGGTCCAGAGGACAACATAGGTATGTGCTAACCAACATGATGGGAACAGTCAAGGATGAGGGCCCACAAGTCAGATGGGGAGTTGTTTCTGACATTGTAGGTGCATCTGACAGGCATATCTACATCACCAGCAACAAAGAGATGGACTCCAGCCCTCAACTTATGCTTATTCTCTGCTGGGCTCTCTGCTGACTCTAAGATCTGGTTTGGATCCCTACAAATAGCTGTTTCCAAGACAAATTCTATCCTCCGGAAGCAAGCTCTAGGCATGGTGCCTGTGAGCTCAGCAGTGCCATTCTGCCCTGGCCTGCTTGTATTGAGCAGCATAGGCGCGGCCAGGCTAAGCCAGTCTCCTGCCTTGCTCTCCTCTCTCTCAACATGCCTCAGGTGCTGCCTGGCACACTGGGTGTGATACTGCTTCTAGGAAACTTTTTTTAAAATACTTTTCTATATGAGAAACAGAAGGGGGTTGAATTTTCATCCTGTGTGCTCTGAGCCTATGTTGTAGGCAGTGGGTTATAGTGGGTGATAGCTTCTCTTCATAGGCCTTGGGGCTGAGGACAAAGTCTCCTTGGGAATCTGTCCTTCCATTTCTGTGAGGGGTTTGGCGTTGACCTGTACCATGCATTTTTAGCTTTTAGTTTGACCACCAAACAGAAAATCAATTATTGGCAGATCTGCCTTGTCAAATAGACAAAGGCCTAGAGAGGCAGAAGGTCTTTGGAGAGAGGCCCTGGCTTTTCAGGGATCATGAGGCTTTGCACAGAATTCAGAGGATGAACCTCACTATCCAAGAGGGTAACTTGAGGAAAGGGAGTTGCATAGGATTTTTCTGTTGCTGTAGGAACCTTTACTGTAATTCAGTTCATGTTGATTAACCCTGGATGCTAGATTCTTAAAAAGTGATTAGTGATATCATACTGGAAACAGAAACAGATGTGCCATCTGTTACGCAGTGTATGGGGTTTAGAGGGAGGTTTTTCTGAAACGTAGTTGATCATGACACTGAAATGAGACTTCACTGCTGTCATCTTCCCATTATGTCCCCAGAAGCTAAGTATCCCTTTGAATGTATGAAAAGAACTGGTGGAATTTGCTGTCAGTGGACTGGTTCTGTAATTCTGGCCAGTGAAGAGGTTGAGAGCTGAGCTCAGCCTTTAGAGAAAGCCACACTATAGGACTTTGCATCAGAGACACTTTCCAAACACCTGAAATCCCAGATCAGGAAATCCGAGCTTCATTCTGAACTTGTGCTTTTGCCTCAGACAATCTTTTCCCTCAGTGAAATGTAAACACTGAAAGGTTATAGGTGGTTTTTTTCAATCCTTCTGCAGAGTTGTTCCTGTGCTCTTATCCCTGCCCCCAATACTCTCCCTTCAAATACTCTCCCTTCATACTGTAGGCACTCACTGCAGATCTCAAGGATTATCAGAAGCAATAAGCAGCTCTCAGACAGCAATTGCAATTATGCTTCTACAGCTGTGATTGTCCACAGCCGTGCTTTCTGTCTTCCTCCAGAGCAACGGAGGAAGGCTGAAGAAGGCAATACATCCATATGTGCTTTCCTAAATCTAATCTGGCATCCTTCTGGCTTTCCTAGCCTCTGAAGAGCAAAGTGCACATTTGTGCTGTTCATAGCACTGCTGCCTGATAACTAATATCTGATCTAATAGGTGAAGCACTGCAGCACCTGGGGAGAACAGGAGCGGGTTCCCTTTGATCCGCAGGGCACATCTTTCAGCACAGCTGTGCAGCCAGGTAAAAAGCTGTCAGGATTCTTGTTTTCTTCTTTTTTTCAAAGTAAATCTCAAGTCTCATACTCACGGCCTCTGGCAGGCCTCCATGTACAAATATAATTACTATTTATTATTTATACAGGAACAGAGAAAGGCCATTGCTTTACGACAGTGTAATAAAATGGGTCACTGCTCCCTGTAGGCTTTGAAGCCCAGGACATGATCCAGTGGAGGTAAAAAATAGGACTCCAGGCACTGAAAAGGGATTGCTATAGTGGATCCCTTTGCAAAGACCAGACTGAAATGCACTGAAACATGCCTACAAAGCACAGGTATGACTTTACAGGGGAAAAGGAGTCCAA